CAGCATTATATCACGTCGTATGTACTCATCTCGATATCAACAATAACTCAACTACCAACTCAATTACCGACAAACCCAAGTACATCCAGTTTCAAATCTCTCGATGTTTATTATCTTCTTTTTTCTCCATATATCCCGGATTTAATTTTATGGAATTACGCGTAACAAATTCCGAGATCTCGTAATTACTTTTTTTACAAAAAAAGTCTCAGTCATTTGATCTAGCTAGACTCGTTAACATTTTTCTCCAGCTCACTCGTCTCTTTAAATTCTGAGCACAGTTAGCTCTACGCAGTATTCAGTATGTTATGCGGTATGATCGTTATTCATGCTCGTATATGTATAGCGTATAATATGTACATTGCGAGAAGTAAAGACAAGTTTCGCTGAGTTGAACCCATTGGAAAACGCGTCAATTAATACCGTCATTAAGGGCGCATGCTTCGTGTATTTACATCGGTTATGGAATGTCGACGTACTCAATTAATGCCTGGGTTTCTTTATTTATTTTCACGTCTATTCACTTATTGAGCGTTTAGTGACGCAATAATTCTACATACTATTTTAGAGAAAAAATTTATTTGCAAAAAAAATATACTTTTTTAAGAAAAGGATTTTTTTCAAATCTAAAGAAATTTTTTTTAATAAAAAGATTACTTTGAAAAAAATTTTTATATCAGCTAAAAAAAAAATTTCTAATAAATTAATTTATTGTCACAAAAAAGTTCATTTTTTTTTTTTTCAAAAAAATTTTTTTCTCCATCAGAATAATTAAATACATAATATTTTGTTTTATTGCTTAAGTAATGTCAAAAATTTTTTACCATTTAAAACTATTTTAATACACATATTTTTTTGAAAAAAATAAATTTTTTTAGGACAAGAAATTAATTTTTTTGAAAATTTTTTACAATTATATTTCTTAGCTGAAGAAATAAAATTTTCTCTTAGAGTAATTTTCCTAAAAAACATTTTTCTATTTGGATTTCGGAAATTTAAAAAAAAAAAATTTGATTTTAAAATTTTCTAAATTTTTAGATCTTAAAAATTTTTCTTACTGTAATTTTTCCTAGAAAACATTTTTCTATTTAGATTTAGAAAATTTCTTTTTCAACCAGAATTTTACTGTGAAAAAAATTTTGATATTTTCATCTTAGAGTTTTTTTAAAATTTTTAACAAATTAATTTCTTGTCATAAAAATATTAATTTACTTGAAAAAAAATTTTTTTTTTCAGTGTATCAGTTTTGTGGTTAAAAATTTTTTAATCTAGTTAAATGTGGAGTTAAACAATCAATATTACCGTAAAAATAAACAATTCGGTTAATTAATAAACTCTGTAATCGATTAATAAGTACTAGCCGTAAAAATAATATAGTTCCACAAACTTGTGAAGATTTTCAATTAACGGGATATCGATCAACTCACACTCTCAGTGCACTCGAGTTTTCAGTTTCCCCACCGAATTTATTATGAATTTCATACGGATGAAAAGTTTTAGTTGGTTCTCCGTCTTCCGCTCTATCCTCAATCTTCTATATATACAAATCTATCTATACAGATGAAATGATAAAGTTGAGGATCTTTTTGAGCAACTAAACTTATCGCGGTTGAAACAAAGAAGAAATCGACTGGTGAAAATCAACAGCTCTGATGTTTCCTCACTTGAAATAATTGAAACTATAATCACAATGTTTTTTTTTTATTTAACTTTTTACAAAATTTAATATAATGTCAACACAATGAATATTAATAGTAAATATACTTGTGATTAGCGGGAGAGTAAAAAAAAAGGCGGAGGGCGCAGAATACTCGAGCATTATACTTGGTAATCTCATCCAAGCTCTGGGTTAATGCTACTGTTAGCATATTTGAAAATCCGCCGGTAATCCTGGAGCCCTGTGTATAGATATAGGGTCTTTTGTTCTATTTTACTCGCGAGTTTCATTCGCTATATCATGACTCTTGGAGACTGCTGTTGCGATGTGCGCTAAACTTATTCTTCGCCCTTGTTATATGTTATCGTTTTCCATTTTATTTTAGTTTTTTTCTTTTTAACTTCCGTCCCAATATTCTATAGTCTATTGAGAGGAACTAGACCGAAGAGAATCAAATTGAAAATGAAAGCAGACTAAGTCCCGTTACACTTCAGATAAACAACTTCTATTTTAGGATTTTATTAAATTGACAATAAAATTTTACGAATTTCCTTTTACTTTTATTATTTTAATTATTTAAATTATTTAAACTAGCAACCTGCAGTCACTGCGACTTCAGAAATTTACGAATTATAAATAAGAAAACTTTGGATCAATAATTTTTTTATATAGTCACACTAATAGTTTGGGAACTTTTTAAATAAATTTAAAAAATAATAGTGCTATCACACAGGATTAATTACAAATAATTTAATGAACAAATGTGACCGAACAAATTTAAAGAACCAAAAAACTATTAAAAACTCCTCCAAAAACTTAACAAAAAATTGACTAAAAATATATATAAAACCAAAAGGCACTAATTCTTATCTCGACCTTTCTGATGATACCAAATTAATTTATAAAAATTTATTTAAAAATAATAATATGCTCGTCGCAAAATTGTCCTTTCTCTCTCAATTATTTAAATCATAAATAACTATCGCTAAAAAATATCAAACCCAATTTACGATAAAGATATACTCGTTATTAAATTTTTCTTAGTCTCTTAATTATATAAATTAAGTTGGCTTAATGATTTTTTTATAATCACACTAATAGTTTGGGTACTTTTTAAATAAATTTTAAAAATAAAAGTGCTATCACAGGATCAATTACAAATAATTTAATTGACAAATGTGACCGAACAAATTTATAGAACCAAAAAACTATTAAAAACTCCTCCAAAAACTTGACTACTAAAAAATATATAAAACCAAAAGACACTAATTCTTATCTCGACCTTTCTGATGATACCAAATTAAACTATAAAAATGTATTTAAAAATAATAATATGCTCGTCGCAAAATTGTCCTTTCTCTCTCAATTATTTAAATCATAAATAACTATCGCTAAAAAATATCAAACACAATTTACGATAAAGATGTACCCGTTACTAAATTTTTCTTAGAGTCTTTTAATTACATAAATTAATTTTTGACATATAACCACATTGACGAGTACAAAACAAAATAAATAAATAAACAAATTTTGTTTATCGCTAAATTCGAATCTATTTATAACTACTTCGAAAACTTATCATAATAAATAAACTATTTTAGAAAAGCATATGAAACATTGAAAAGGCACAACTTCAGGTCTCGACCTTTTCAACGGTACCAAATTTACCCATAAAAACCCATTTTATCATATAAATACACTGACCACAAAATTTCGCTTATTCTCTTAATAATCTAGATTATTTTTAAAAATTTAGATTACGAGTTGAAATTATCGTATTGTTTAAATATTAAACAGACATTTGAAAAGCTGTGTACTGAATTCATCCTTCAGGAGTCTGGGTACGTTCAACGAGGTATCCTCTTCAAACAATACCTGTCTGTCTATATAATACTCATATCTCATGTACTTTCTATCGTTATCCTTGAATAAACGCCGGTCTGAAATAGTAATACTGTTTTGTTCCTGTTCGCTTATTCGAGTATCTAGTAAGTAGTACAAGTTTACTCGAATCCCCGATCCTGGAGACAGAATATTAATATTTAAATTCTATGGATACGCTTTTCAATAGAATTAACAGAATTTTTATCGGCTTACATCGGATCACGGGATTTATGAATGGAGATTCGGTAATTATGCAAAAAAAACTTGAAAATAGTAATGGAAATTCAAGGAAGAGTAATCTTATTTGTTTAATAAAATTAAAATTTTTTCCTTACATTATTATTAATTTTATTTTTAATTTAAACTTTCCAAAAAATAAATTAAATTTATCCAGCAGACAGACAAATATTAAAATAAATTTAGTTTCTGTCTGTCAATGTTAACTTTAGATACCGCAGCTCTATTAAAATTAACAGAGTTAATATTACTCGGGGCTTTGGAATATTTCCTCTTCCTTCTTGTGCCTTTGTATTCTAATGTCCTTTGATAATTTCCCGTCATTTAAACTTTATCACCAACTCCTCGTCCCTGGCACATGCGTTCATAACTTACGACTTTAATAAAACTTAAAATAAAAATTATAATTACATCTGCAAAATCATTTCATTGAAATCGCAACAATTATTAATTTAACATGAATAAATACATGTATAATGAAACTAACTTGCCTCACAATTTAACCTTAAGTTCTCCTCAGAATTCTATTAAAATAAAGTTAAACTTATTAATTAACCATAAATAATTAACAACTCTCTTAAAAAAAAAAAAAAAAAAAAAACATTTCTTTCTTATAGTATTAATATTTATATTATATACTCATAAAACGCTTTCAGCTTTTCCTTTTCTTAATACGAGCAACAACTTCTTTTTTCAGCAAACGATCTCTACTAAAAGTCTTAATAATTAAACAGAGATTATTCAGGATAGTTCTGGTGCAAATCTTTCATCAGCTTTTTTTTTTTTTATTTTATTTTATTATACTTTTTCATTTTAGCTATGTACAGCGATAAAGACAGTCGTGAATGAATGAAAGAAAGGAATAAAGTTGAGAATAAAATAAAAAGCCAAGAATGATAGTCTGAAATAACGAGTTCGGGGACTAGACCTCTGAGTTAAACTAAAGAAAAAATAATAAAAAAAAGTCTTAACTTACCACCGCACACAGTGCATTTATTCTCAGCGGGAAAATATATTGTCCCTTTGTCGATAGAACGTGCGCTGAGGAAATGAAAAAAATTCGGTAGTTATCGTAACTGCCTTTAATTCACTCGTTATCGACTACACTATTTTCCGAGCGATAAAAAATGATAAAATCAAAACTAAAAAACGATTAATTTTGATTTATTTACGACTTTGACGATAAATTTTTCAGGTTGGATCGAAATATTTTTTTATTTTATCAAAAGCGTCTCTTGAAAGGGTGAAATGTTAAATAACTAGGCCTGAATCTTGTTTCTGTAGAATTTTCCGTGGAAAAAGTCTTGCATAATTTTTTTAACGCGCCTTCAATTTCTTCGATAGAGACTTTGTTCTTTCCAGCATTTTCCGCCATTTTTTTCGCGTCTTCCAGGGTGTTCTCGATTACATCTTCGATGAGGTTTGACAACGCCGCTTGGGCGTCTGCTGAGAGGGTGTAACGGCGAGCTGAAATTAATTATTAATTTAATAAATATTAATATTTATTAAATATTTAATATTAATATTAGTTTTATTAAATATTAAACATTAATATTAATTTTATTAAATTTATTAACGATTTTTATTAAATTTTTTAAATATTAAATATTAATATTAATTTTTATTAAATATTATATATTAATATTAATTTTATTAATGATTTTTATTAAATTTAAATTAAAAAAAAAATTGACAGAAGAAAATATAAATAATTTATTTATTTATATTATATATAATTTACCTTTTGTGTATTTATTTTTTGAAGATAAATTTAAGGTACGACGTCGATCTATTCCGGAGCGTCTTGACATGTTGCTTTTATTCTTGTGTAAATTTAAACAGTAAATTCAATCCGGATATTTGGGTTTTATTTTAAGAGAGAGCTTTTGTCAATACATATATCCACGATGTTTATTTATATTTCCCGACAGAAAAACATAAACGTATCGGGTAAAATAAATGAAAACAGTTTAACTAAAAATAATATTTAAAAAAAAAAATTATTCTATATTTTTATAAGATTCTGTTTTCATAAAAATTCCCGGGTTATTTTTTCTTTTTTTTTTTTTCCGTTTTACGGAAGCCCTTTTTATTTTGTCCGGGCTGACAATTCGCTCGCTCCACTCCTTCACACATCGCAAAGCCGTTTTTATAAATTTTTTTAAGCTTTTTTCAGCAAGCAAACAATCAATCAAAGTACCCGAGGCTTTGCCACAATAAAAGGTTACATTTTTCACACGTTACTTGGTAAATAAAATTTGTAAGAAAATCAGGCTAGTGTAAAATTTAAATTACCTATTCTTTCAAGCAAACGAAGTTTATTGAATCAATAAATAATCTAATACTTTCAGTAAAAATAATTTAAAATTTTTATTACTAAAAAAAATTATTCAAGTTTGGGAAAAAAATTTTTTTTTAAAAGAATTTTATTCCACAAATTTCCAGCTGACCTCAGCGTCTTAGTAGAGAATTCCCAACGACGAGAGATGAGCAAACTTGCAAATTGGCTGGTAGAATAAATTAATTTTGGATGGGAGCAATTGAGAATAAATAAAAATAATTACCCCAATTTTTCACCCAGGAATTTTTCGCTCTAGTTTAATTAACATGTTAATTCAGCGAGAATTATTTCCGAGGGAAGAACAAGATTTAATTATAATTCATAATTCGAATTTTATACATAATTCCAGTTCATGATTGCATCGGCTCCGAGTGGGGACCCTGGTCAGCCTGCAACAATAAGTGCGGCCGAGGAATTCAGAAGCGGTCCAGGAAAATCGAGCGGCCTGCGGAGAATGGTGGCAAGGGATGCAATCCTCTTGTCCAGAGACGCTATTGCTACAGCACGCAGTGTGATAAACATGATCCCGAAATAGCCCTCAGAGGTAAAATTTAAAATTAAATTATTAAAATTAATTTTTTTTTTATCAAAGAAAATATTAATTTAAAAATTTTTTCAAGTGCTTTATATTAATAATAATAATAATAATAATAATAATAATAATAATAATAATAATAATAACAAATTAATAGTAATTGAATAAAGACTTAAGCATTTGGGGATGCATTTAGCCTCTTAAAAGGAAATAATTCGAGAGTAACCACAGCACTAATTGCTCCTCTCCGTAATTTGCTCGGGCACATTTGACCGACACGACTAGACTCTGGAAGCATCTCAGCAGCGTTCTCTGCTAATTGGGATTCCGTTTCGACGCAGTAAGCCCGTCAGACATTTTGGTCTTTGATCGAGAGCCCATTGATAATTTTCCCAGCCGATCTATTGTAATCATTTAATTAATCATTAATAATATGGATATATGTAACCGTTCGCTCCACTGAGGATTACGCTCCAGTGCATTAAGCTTCAAGGCTTTGTAACATCAAAGGATTAGATTAATTTGATAAAGTTGCCTTGATATTCCATCGCACCTAGATTTTACTTTAGTTTTTTTATTTATTTTTAGAAACGGCGTACATTTTGCCTGCAGAGCTCAGCGCCGCCCGTCATAAGGTCACAAACAATGACATTATTCGGGCTAATTTGAGGCTCAGAAAACAACTCTTTCCCTCCTTGGGAGACACTGATTGGTCGCCTTACAATGTTTCTAAAGAGTGAGTTTTTAATTATCAAATTATTTAGCTTTTAATTTATTACTAACAACCTTGCAGTCACTATATGACGGCCGTGATTTGTGAATTATAAATAAAATTTTGCTTTATTAAATAATGAATTTTGTTAAATTGCACTGTACTTTCTTAAATATTGACGTTTTTAAAGATATAAGCTCATCCTGATGTTACACTCATCAAGAGCTTTCATTTGAGTACCCACATGCATTTTTATATATTTTTCATATATACATATATAAAATATATATAAATATATGAAAAATTGATGTGGGTACTCAAATGAAAGCTCTTGATGAGTGTAACGTTGGGATGAGTTTATATCTTAAAAAATGTCAATAGTTCACGAGATACAAAGTCATTTCTTAATTATGTATCTAGAGATTGCGAATTTTCGAATGCAGCTTAAATACTTATCATAATAAATTGACTATCGAAGAGAATGATATGAAACCTTTGCAATGACACTAAGTTTTACTAAAAAAACCAATTTTATCATATGACTATCCTGGACACAAAATTTTTTTTATTCTCTTAATAATAATATAGATTATACGGAAAAAAAAAAAGGAAAAATGACATTATGTAATTATTACAGATTTTGTAAGAATTACATTGTAAAATGTAAATATAACATTAAAAGCTCTGAAAATTAATATTGAAAGTTTGAATTTATAAAAATCTTATTTAACTGCAATTTTTCTATTTTTTTATATAAAGCGACGCTTATTACTATTTATAATGTAATTATTAAATTTTTTTCCCGCGTGTATTACTGAAGCATCTTCTGGACAATTGAACAGTTCTGTTAAAGAGAAGAAAAATTATGAATTGTTAAAAAAGAAAGAAAGGTTTTTTATAGCCCATCTGAAAAAGAGTTTTCGGGTTAGTAAGTGAAAGAGTAATAATGCATGAAGGAAGTAAAGATGAAAGGAGCGATTATGGCACGAAAAATAGAGAAGAAAGTGCAAGAGACACGGGAAGTCTTGCATCATAATCTAAATTATTAAGGGAGAAAAGGAAATTTTAAAACTGAGGCTGAGAGCTGCAAAACTTATAAAAACCTCGACTTATCTTGTCATCTTGAATGAAAATAGTCTCAGAGAATTTTTTAAATTCCTTTGAGGATTGCGGTTTGCATAATAATTAAAACTTTTTCACGAGAATTAATTAATAATTAATTATTCAATTATTTATTGTTGTAATAGTCGGAATTTAGATGGAATATAATTCACACATTCGGAGGTTAAGACAGAGAAGGATGAATTGGTAATGTCGTATGTGTTATCCGGGAAGTTGCTTCAAGGATTCGATATCCCGTGAAGAGTATTGTTCGCCAGCACTATAACACAGATCATTTTAGGTTGAGCGGTTCGATTCCGCCGAGAGAGTTCTGAATGACTGACACTGCAAACTACGACCTGAGAACTAGGAACATTGCCATGACTGAGAGTATGTATCCCAAGATCTCAGATCTGCGTTGTGTATGTAGTCAAGAGGAATGAGTGCATTCCTTCTGTTGGGTATTCAGTTGACTTGTGTATATTTGTGTATCAGTCTAGTACTATATATGTCGTAGATATATATTATATAAACTGCACTATAAACTATGCCGTTTTTGTTCTCTCACTTACTTGGTAAATCGTTTCTCTTGTCAAGTCGCGCAGATTACTTCCGCTATTGAAGAAGATACTTGCTCAGAGCTTGCTGTCAAAGATGGTAAATAAATAAAACTCGAGTGTTTATTTTTTATCTCCTGTTTCTTGCTGTTGATTTTCACTTCTGTAAACAAATGTATGTTACATTTTTTATTTTTATTATTTATTTATGAGGATTAAAAATATTATTTTGCTTCAAGGTTTTTTTTAAATAATTTTTTCGTAATTAAAATTTGAAAAAATATTCTCTTAATTGAAAAATTAAATATTTTATTTTTGAAAAATTTATTTAATGTTGAAAAATTAATAATTTTAATTATTATAAATTATAAAAAAAAGAATTTTTTTTTTTTTTTATATAAAATAATTTTTTTAATTGAATTTAATTGTAACTTATTGGACTTTTTTATTTTTAAAAGGAATTAAATTTTTTAATAAAAAAATACCAATTTAAATTGAAAAATAAAATATTTTATTATTTGAAAATTTATTTAATATTGAAAATTTTAATTATAAATTAAAAAAAAAAAGAATTTTATTTTAATAAAAAATAAACTTTTCATCTGATTTGAGATGTAATTTATTAGACTTTTTATTTTTCAAAGGAATAAAATTTTTCTACAAAAAAATCGCAAGTAAAAATATTAAATTAAATTAAAATATTAAATATTGTATTTTTAAAAAATTTATTTAATATTGATAAATTAAAAATTTCAATCAATCTAAATTATAAAAAAAAAGAATTTTTAAACTTTTCAACTGACTTTAGTTGTAAGTTATTGGATTTTTTTATTTTTCAAAGAAATAAAATTTCTCAACAGAAAAATGGCGAGTAAAAATATTAAATTAAATTGAAAGATAAAATATTTTATTTTTAAAAAATTTCTTCAAGTATTTATTTAATAAATAAATTGAAAAATTACAAACTTTAATCATGATAAATTATAAAAAAAATTTCTTAACAAAAAAATGGCCAATAAAAATATCAAATTAAATTAAAAGATAAAATATTTCATTTTTAAAAAAATTTATTTAATATTAAAAAATTAAAAATTTTAATCAATATAAATTATAAAAAAAGGAATTAATTTTTTTAATAAAAAATAAACTTTTCATCTGACTTTAGTTGTAACATCCGACTTTTTTATTTTTAAAGGAATCAAATTTCTCAACAAAAAAATGGCAAGTAAAAATATCAAATTAAATTGAAGTAAAAAAAAACTTGGAAAGGAATGAAATATCGATTATTGATCTGGAGTCTGGAAATAGTGACTGTTATAATACTTTACTCGGCCAGTACTCCATGCTCCAACAAGATAAACCCAACATACCCTGAACAGCACTCTTATTCAATTTACATTTTGCTTTTGAAGTCCACACTAGAGCAGTCGAAGTACCTGGACCGATGGAACGTGTATAAAAAAAGTTCCTCAAAAGCTCGCAGAAAATTTTTTTATAAAAAAATATGTTCTGGCTTTTGAAATCTCCGCGAGATTAAATATAAAATAGACTGTACTGGTACGACGTCGTCATGCAAAATGAACTTTTCTGCTCTCATATTCATGATACAGTTGTATTACGAACCGATAAGTTCAACAACAACATCGATATTATATTATAATATAAGCAAAAGAAAAAAAAATTGGCAAGATGCATAGAACTTGATACTTTCGATATTAACGTTGTAGCTTGCTCATATATATCAGCTGAGTTTTCTATCCTATCCTATCCGTAGTTCGTACACATCATGAATATTAAAAAGCGACGAGTGGAAAGATTTGTATACATCGCGCTCCACATTCATAATGTATCAAAAAAATTATCCACTCGCCGGGTTCGAGTCCTCGAGAATTTATTTCAAAGTAAATTTTAAATATTTTAATGCCATGTTAATTTTATTTCTCCTACTCTAGTAATTTTAAAATAACATTTGAATATTTTTAACATGACCTGAGATGAAATGTGGATTTTACTCTGTAAGAATTATTAATTAGCTGGGACAGTAATGATGAAAAAAAAAGGCAAGTAATTAAAAAGTCGAGATAATTTGAGAAAAAGCCCATTACATCTAATGTGACATTTTTTTAAAAAATAGATTGTTAGAATAGTACTCAAGACGTGTAAGAATGCGAGGCATTTGCGTTAGCTTCGTTGTTCCAGACTGGATCCCTCGGGGGATGAAGACTCGACTCCAGTTTGTAAAGATACACCTACTCGGATACGGATAGGAGTCTTCTTTAGAATTTATCGTTCCGTTAAGGGAAAAATCACTAAAACTTTCATTTTATAGCAAGATTAAAAATAATCCTGTAATTTTTCAATCTTGTGAAAAGTTTTATCGGCTTTTCCTTGTTTTTTTTAATCAACTTCGGTTGTTATGAAATTATAAATTTCCGGGGTGGGGATCTCTTCAATACCGAAAGGTGAACTTTACCTTTATTTACGCCGGGTAAAGTTTTTACGAAACAATTTATTTTAATTGAAAATTATCAAATAATTAAGTAACTAGCAACCTTGCAGTCACTATGTGACTGCCGTGACTTGTGAACTATAAATAAAATTTTGCTTTATTAAATAATGAATTTTGTTAAACTGAATTTTATTACACTCATCAAGAGCTTTTATTTGAGTACCCACATGTATTTTGATATATTTTTCATATATACATATATATATATATATATATATATATATATATATAATATATATAAAATATATGAAAAATTGATGTGGGTATTCAAATGAAAGGTCTCGATGAATGTGATGTCGGAATGAGCTTATATCCTTAAAAATGTCAATATTTCACAAGATATTTGTTAAATTGCACTGTACTTTCTTAACTATTGTCATTTTTAAAGATATAAGCTCATCTCGATGATACACTCATCAAGAGCTTTCATTTGAGTACCCACATCAATTTTTCATATATTTATATATATATATTATATATATGTATATATGAAAAATATATCAAAAATGCATGTGGATACTCAAATGAAAGCTCTTGATGAGTGTAACATCGAGATGAG